GCGCCGGAGCCGGAGCCGGGCCGCACATCGGCCGCCCCGCTGCGAGTCTCGGCGAGCCAATGGGAAAACAGCCGCCTTTGTATGTAACAAAAAAATCATTTAATGAATGTTTTGTTGTTTTTTTATTTTTAAAACGAAGACAGGAATCATTCCAAAACATTATACAAAATGAACAGTCTCTCACACGTTAACAGTGCGCTACTGGCAAATTTCAAGTAATAAACACAGTTCTGTACAGAAAACCCTTAAGCACAATTTTTAAACCAAGGGAATGGCTAGCAGTCTGCTCAGGAATACTGCTGCCCCCGAGACACACTGCTCCAGTAGCTCATTTAAGCGAGAAGAAACATGACTTCAAAGGCCACTGACACATAAGTTTCTGAATGCTGTATCTCCAAACTATAACTTAACTCTCAAATATTCACATTTTAGAACAGAGAGAGCAGTAGTCAAGACATTTGTACAAGAATAAAACATAAATAATAAAGGCCTTAACACATTTAAAATAAAACCCAGGCCCCTCTGGAGCAGCGAGGCTGTGCCCCAGCAACGTGCTCCCCTCCCTCCTGCCCTGGCGCTTTCACCGCCTCCTGTTCTCTGAACCACCGTGTGAAGCTACCTGGTGTTCAACTGCACTTGCTATTTTGGAGCAAAATAAATATCAAAGTCTCTTCTCTAAAAATGTTTAGGAAACGGATTTCAAAACCATCGCATATTTTCTTCTCCTATGCACTACTTCAAAATACTGATGTATGTCTCTCACTTGCTTTGGTTTTAGAAGAGAAATGAGTTGGAAACATGTAAACCCACACCTTTCCCCTCCCTCCAGATTCTTGAAGCATGATTTGTAAAACCAGTACAAAGTTGTTAAACAGAGTTTCGATTCTGATCACATTTTACCCAAACCCCCTGAAAAAACAGGGACTTTAAACCTCAACAACCCTGAAACTGTAGCAGCAATGAAGTGTCCTACCGCACTATTTTTTTTGACAGGTCTAACGGTATATATTAGCTACATTTCCAGTCTGGAAAACTTTAAGGCTCATTAGCATAATCAAGACTAAGACCATAAGCATCCACCACACAGACGGCAGTGCCGGGGTGCCAGTCAGCTGCTCGGTTTTTAGGTGCTGCAGATGGTTCTACTCTTATCTAGTGGTTCTGGGAGTTTCGGGAAGTCAAGTTCTTCTGGGTTTTTGTGGTTTTCAAGGATGCCTCTGAGCTTCTGCTATCTTTCTGATCAGGAATAGCTTGTCACGACCCTCCTGGAAAGGCAGAATAAAAAGTACACTCTAGATGAACAGAAGTAGTGCAAGTTATCTATGAACAGCTCATGTCTTTATTAGAAATAAATAGGTGCACTCACCACACTGTACTCTAATTAGTGGCTCCCAGCACACTCTCAACTGCCTGAACAATTTTAAGTTTACAATAGTCTTGATTTCATTTATTTCATATTAGGTCACATACTAACAGTTCTGCAGTGAGCCTAGTAAAAACACCTCACACACCTAAAAACTTAAAACCATGCTTCTAAGAAGCCTAAAACCAGTGAACAACAAAAAAAAAAGTGCACAAGGATTTCCAGAATTCCTGACTGATTTGGGAACCCTTGAAAAAGCAGTAAGGCTTTTGCCTCTAAATTCCTTACTCTTCAAAAATCTCTCCCCAGCACAGTGTTCTCCTAAGGACGGGTTGTTAAATGCCGTTATCTAAAAGAAGCACATGCCAAGAAATGGGCTATTTCCTAGGAAAGTGAGAAGTCTTACTCGTGAGGCTAGGCTCTGACCAGAGCAGAGTTTCACAGACACAGCATACGAATGCTGTCAAACATGGAAGCAGCTTTTGATGGCCACAAAGAAGCCTGTCTGCAATGGCATCGTTCTCCAAAGGACTAGTTTGTGGTGATTCGCTGCACCTTGAGTACCTGTTGCAAGCGGTGCTGGCACCTGCACTCAGGAATAAGTCCAGACATGAGGCCTGGAGGGAAGGGAAGGGAGTTGGGTGCCTGTTTGTGAGGGCAGAGAAGAAAATAGAGGTGGGGGTTGTGTAAGAGGTGGAGGGGACAGGAAGCACAAGATTCAGGTTCTTGTTTGGCAGAAAAAAACCCATGCACATGGGTGGCTTTAAGCAAGACAACAGATGAATAACAAGGACACCGCTTCCCAGAGGCATATCTCATGCATGTGTGTTGCCTGATATAACCAGACCTCGCTGCAGTTGCAGCTGATACCCAAGAAAACCAACTGGACTAAGAAATACTATAGTGCTTCAGTTGGTTTTCCTGTGTAATCTGTAAAACATTCTTCACCGCCTGTGCAAACACCAAGTATCCAGAAGACTATGAAAACTGTTGTTCCTTTGCAAGCCTGATTACTGACACAACAAAGAAAACTTTAGGGGTACAGAAAAGTGGGTCAAATCTTACCAGAACCAGTTGCTCCCTCAGCTGCTCAACCACTCGTTTGTGTGCTCCAGCCAGTGCAATAAAATAGAACATAATGAGGCTGCAAACAACAAACCAACATGTGTTAGCATTATGCAAAACAGAACAAGTCAGAAAAAGGCGGTTATGGGCTAGGGAAATTGTCAGTTTGTACATTTGCTTCGGGTAAGAAGCTACTGGAGAAGAAAAAAAATTTAAGAACGATCAATACACAGCTGGGGTAGGTGGGCATAGCTCTGCTCAAAAGCATCTGGTGAGATAACTGTGCTGCCAGCAGGCAGGGACAGAGTGCTAGGGGACGTAGAGGCACGACCACTTTCAGATGTTACAGGTTGTGTTCCAACAGCTCTCCCTAGACTGTCAGTTCCTGCTCTGCTCTAAGCGTATGTATGAGGGCTCTGCATCTCAGAAATTAAGTTTAATGAGGTTTCACTGGAGTAACTCTTTGCTCCCATTGGGGTTTGTAACTATGGTAAGCAGCCACAGAGCCGTATTGCAGCCATTCCTTATGGCACATGTTCCAAATGCAATCTGTGACTCAAATCGTCCACAGTGCATTACATGATGAAGAGCAATAGCAAGAACTAGAAGGCAGAAATGCCTACATAAATCATGTATTTTCTTTTCCAAATAATAAGTAGTAGAGTGGCAGTGTGAGTCATCCTCCACCTCTTACACAGGCTTTACGATAAAATTAAAACAGAAAAAAAAAAAACCCAAACATTACAAAGAGGACTTGATATTTCTTGTGTACTCAGTAACAGGTTCCATTCAGGAGAACACATCAACATGTTATGGAAGAAAGGGCTGGGCAGTGTCTGAAAAAAACCTCCATGGTTTTTCACACACAGACGTAGAAAATATCAGGTAACAAAGATGTAGAAAATATCAGGTAACAAAGCTCCAAGATCTGAAAACAGTCAGGTTAAACTGAAATGCAAAAAATTCCATTTAAATGTGAGGAGGGAAAAAAAACCACAACCAAAACATTTTTACGGCAAGAGTGACTGAACACTGGAACAGGTTGCTCAGACAGGTTGTGGAGTCTCCATCTTTGGAGATATTCAAAACCTAACTGGACACGGTTCCTGAGCATCTGCGCTACTCGACCCTGCTTTGAAGAAGAGGGTTAGACTGGATGATCTCTACAGGTGACCTCCAACCTTAAAAATTCGAAGATTCTACACTGAATTTTATCTTACAGAATGACTGTTTGGGGGGTTTCGTTTGTTGTTGGGTTGTTGTGTTTGGGGTTTTTTAACCAAGGTTTGTGGACCGGATTTATGACCGCAGGGCTTACACTACTAATTTGCAGAATGATTCACAGCTATCACTTTTGAGAAAGACATGTGTGGGATATGGCACATGCAAGAGGAAATGGAACAAAGCTAGTGAGTGTCAACACATGTGCAAAGACATAGGAGTTGAGGATTCATATGGGCTTTGATGCTTTTGACTGAAGATGGAAAATCTGGTCCAATAGCTGTTTGGTATCAGTTCAGTAAGGAAGGAAATGAACAAGGCAGCCGCATGACTGAATCAGGTCTCCACAGTACTCACCAAATGACCATAAAAAAAGGCACTGCAAAGGCTTCTGATGCTATGCCATAAAGGACCTGCTGCAGACCTGTTGGAAACTCACGTATTGTGTCCGGAACAACTGCCCATGAAGTATTAAAATTCCTGAACGGCCCACATGCCTTGGAGGAAGGGATACTGTCAAAAAAGCAGAACAGAAAGGAGATGCTGCATGAAAATGTAAAGATAAAATAATCCAACACAAGCCCAGCACACTTTGCCGATAGGGCAAAAGTGTCCTTTGTCTTTAAAACTGTAATTTTTGTTTACGTGAACTAAGTTATAATTTGATTTATTAAATACTATATATTGTATTCCAATTTATCATTCCAAAGTTCTGTGTCTGTTTCTAGGGAACTAACAACCATAGAACAAATGTCAACTTCATAAAAGTTAAATTGTCACTTACTGTGCTATGCTGATTCCCAAAGGAATAAAAGCCAAGAAGAGCCCAATCAACAGCACCACCAAGAAGAAAAAATTGGAACTTGATGCTCTGACAGGCCGAGCTGCAGGCTTACATGTGTGTATCAAACTGATCTGAAGATGGAAAGTGAGCAAGACTGTTACCAGTACATCTATATACATACATCCAAGTATATTTCCCCACCAACTGAATTTTCCATTCTCAAATGTGCTACCAGCTACCACGTAACCATCCTTCCTTTGATCTACACGGACTGAAAAGGGCTGAGACAAGAACGCTTTCCATTCTGGTGTAAGTCAACATCTCCTGTTGTGAGTAAGAATTGGATCCAGAGGATCTCATACACTTGCACGGAGTCAACTGGCACAGTCATTTGGCATATGATCCATGGCACAGCCTTTAGCTTTGTTCTACCACACCTTCACTGGATACATTCCCTCTTGTAAGAGCTAAAATATCAGCAAGAATTTGATGCACAGAAGGAGTTGTCTGGTCACAGAGCAAAGCTTCTGATATGCAGAAATCACATCTTGAACATGCAACCCAGCTTGGATTTTCCATTTTGCTTCCAAATTTTTAGCAGCTTGGCAAATTTTTGTCCAAGTTCTAAGCTGTGTTGCTAGTAAATAGATTATTGCAGAAGAGTGTTATAAACTAGTCTTATTACATAAAATTTTATTCTAAAAAAATCCCAGACAAATAATTGAAGAGGTAGTTATTAAAATGTTGATTTGCTTGATTTCAAAGCAAAATTCTACCTTCCCTTAGAAGCAAAAAAAACATTACCTCATTTCCAGTATACCACATCCTTAGGGGGTTTTAGGGGTTTTTGTTTGTTTTAAATCAACTGCACTCCTCTATTACAAAAACCAGAGATTTTCAATCTTCAATTTTGAAATCGAAGATTTCAATTCAATCTTCAGTTCTGAAATTGAAAATCTTCAATTTTGTTTGTTTACCACACACTTTCATTACCTTTTTAATATAAAAGATGATGAAGTATTTTATAGTTGCTATTGCAGGGAGAAGTGGTGAAAAGAAGGTTCCAATCCAGCAGATAGTCTGCCCATATATGATTTCCAGGACATTGTCAGAAATTCCAAATTCCTGCACTCCCCACCACTGAACTAGCTTCCAAGAGCAATGAGTAACTAGCAACCTAAAACCAATGAATATCATTAGTTGTACATTGAAGTTATAGAGCTTAGCTGAATTCTAACACATTTGGAACACAGAGACATTTAGCATTTAAGCATTAGACAACATAACAGAAAAATGCCTGAAGGAAAAAAGATCAAAACTCAAATATCAAAAACTACACAGCTATCTGAATAGCAAACAAGCGATCAAACCACCAGAAATGTGTTTATGTTTTATTTTAAAACTGGTAATCTGGTTAGAAATAATGGGAATTAATAACAGAAAAAAGAAAATGTGCTTCATATGTCATTTGCAAAAGTATGCTTAAAAGGTGGAGATACTTACTTTCTAGGAAAGCCCATAAACAGGACTGCAGCAACAATTATCATAAAATCAAATATCATCAGTTTATACATTTCTTGCCCAACTTCAGATTCCCAGCACTATAAAAACAAGTAAGGAAAACCAAGATTAAGAGTCCAAATAACAACTGAAAAATAAATCTGTCAATCCCTAAAGCAACAAACATCCCAGTTAACACCATAAAGTTCAAATTGTATTAACTCTCATTTATAAAATATTTAAGTGTTTCAGAGCTTCCATGCCAAGCTTTTTGTTGTTTGTTTGGTTTTGTCTGTTGGGGTTTTTTTTTTTGAGGAAAGACCATTTGTCTTTTTGGAGCAATAGGCAGTAACACAACTGTCTCCAAAACAGAGCTACCTCAAACAATCCTCATGGTAGTCAGAAAGTCTACGCTAAACAATAATCTGCCACTGGAGTAATTCTAAAGAGAGTTTTAGCTAAGAAAAGATGTATGTAAGAACTGTACTGATATGCACGGAGCAGTAAGAATCAGCACCAGGTATAACATGAATGACAATCCCAGGTCTGATTCTGAATACCTCTAGACAAGCAAGTCTCATGCAAAATGGTTCTCTCTTCATAAGTTCAGATGTTTAAAGACAAAGATAAATCTGCTTACAGGATAGAGTTCGTAATTGTATCCACAGGCCTTACACTCATCGGTGGCACAGTAGGAGATCTGACTCCACAGCGAGAACAAGAGAACACCGATATTGGCCAACCGCACAAAGATACACCTGGAAGAAAGGCAAAACCCAATTCCAAACCTGCCAGAAAAGGAGCCATTCTAACACCTGGCTCAACTTGCACAGGAGTCCAAGGAAGGCTCGAAACACAAAACAGTTGTACAGAGCCTTAATGGAACAACCAGCTAGATAATAAACACATTTCTTTTCTAAGTAGTAAATTAATTGCTTTTCATCTTCCCTGCTTTAGGCTACAGTCCCCTGTTTCTTTTCACAGTATTGTTCTTAGATCAGTCATTTCAGTTGCAGATCTTGACGCTGCAATGAGCTGCAATTCTCTCAAGTACAGTTTGAGAGGCCGGGCGACAACTCTGTGTGCAGCGTTTCCCTCTCAGGTGGCTTCAGGCCTTCAGAGACACTTAGCCAAATCAGAAATACAAAGCACAGGGCTTGACAGAGTTCAGATGCTTCAACCCAGATCTTACTGCCTTAAGCTGCCAAGCGCTAGCTCTTCACGCTCTCACGCTGAAGTATCTTTTATCCCAAAACTTTTAACTGCTGCCTTGAGCAAAGCCTTGCTTCAGTTACTGCTCTACACGCACATTTGCTCATTCAAGGAACAGCTGCACACAAAGCGGTGTGAATGCACAGCTCTGCAGCCACAACTACTCTACTGACTATTTATTCAGGTTGTTGAAGATGTCCAGATCACACAGCTAAATGAGACTGAGAGAGAAACTTGGACACTGAAATGACTGCACTGTACTGTCATCAAACCAAGAGATTGTTTCCAGATTTAAAATTAGTTTCCAACTAAACATAAGTCAAACAATGCCTGCTTGGCTTCCAGTGTCCACGCCCTCCAGTGCAGCGTCCAATCTCTCTGCTTCTACATATTTGAATGCTTACAATACTTCTAACCTACCGAGAACAAGATGTTGAAACATGCAAGGCCACAATAAAAATGTTTTTACCTCATCAATGTCAGCCTGATTTCAAAAGCTGGTGAATAATCTTCAAATCTGATCAGAAATGAGAAGATCTGAGGAGCAATGAAGTTGGCCAGTGTGATCACTATAGAAGGTAAATACTGCACTAAGAGATTAGCCTGGGAGTTCATGTTGCTGACGTCCTGGACAAGAAGAGATGAGAGAAAAATAGTACTCAGAGAAAACACAGCTTCCTGACATCGTGGTCTCTCCAGCTACCCACCAGCCTCCCTTGTCTAAGACTTAGGTAGCATCTTTTGCTCTGTCTTCATCCTCCACCTACATTTGGAACTACAAGCCTGACCAGTGCTACCTCTCTCTGCAGTTTGCTGCTACGCATCCTTGCTTTCTCCTGCTCCCTTCACCAGTAACTCCCCCCACCTCCAGGTATGAGTATTTTAGCACTTCCCAAAAGCTTCTGTTTGAAAAGACTCAACTCACCGAGGCTTGTGTCTGACTATGTTGTCTAACCCAGCACTAAGGCTACCAGCTTTCACACCCATGCTGAAGCGCAGACACTTTTAAAGCTGTTCTCACTGATGCCAAGCAGCTCCCCTGACTTTCCTACCATCTTAACAAGCTCCTCTACCTATTCATTTAGGCAAGGTCAAGATATCAACCCTTATACATAAAGCAGACAGCAAGTGAAGTTGTTTTTCAAGTTGTTCAGCGTTGTGCTATCCTCTTCCTCTGCCCTCAAACAATACCTCTGACACAAACACTTCTTTAGTCCCTGTTTCCTGCTTCTCTCTCTGCAATCCTGGCAGTTTACAGAAGTTACGAGTTAGGTCCACCACAAGCACAACCTTCCCGATATGCAGCCAGTGCCCATCACATCACCAATGAACAGAGGGGAGAAAAAGTGTGGTCCCCATTCATATCATGCTCATTCAACCCTGGGGTCCTACAAAGAAGTCAATTACTGTTGCGAAACTGTTGAAACTGTCCTCTGCTTTTGCTGTTCTGCTTCTGAACTGCTCTTCCCATCTGCTCGTCCTGTCAGGGGTGAACAACCCCACCCAACCTGATTCTTTCTACTACTGATGCAAGAACCTTTTCTTCTGCAAAGCGGCCCGTGTTCAAAGCCTTCCTGTTTCCCCATACAGCTGTAACTCACAATACAGATCGTAATCTTTACTCTCCCCTTCCCTTGCTGTCATTTTTGCAGTTGAGCAGCAAACCAGATCAAGAAACTGATCACAATGAAGTTTGTTTAAAACAGATCAGTTCCCTGAGCCAGTTCACTGCCCAGACACACAAGCACTTGTACCAGCAGATCACAGCAAGGTGAGAACAGTTACTTGGGAAGGTGAGTGAGGGCTGCTTTACTTGTCAGTTGCCTTAGCTCCAAAGCAGATGACACTGAACCCTCTATATTAAAGGAAGACATCACTGGGAGTGATGTCTTCTTTTGCACATGGTTCTCAATATTTCTCACTCTCTCCTACTAAAAAAATTCTAAGTTTGTACAACACATTTTCAGATCCCTTGCATGAAAGGTGCTATATAAAGATACTTGACTCTTTCACAATAGTTCCTCTTGCTATAATCAGCAGTCACCACTGAACCTCTCCTAATGTCATGTCTGATACTTACACTGGAGTTTTCTTGAGAGAAGACAGTTGCTCTATAAATAGAGTAAAAACATCCTGATAGAACTGCAATGACAATTATATTTATAAATATTCTCAGCGAGTAGATGCGCAGCTTTTCTTTCATTGTCCTGTCAGCTATTTTTTGCTTCAGTCTCTCTTCCTCCAAGTCTGTCTACAAACAAAAGAAAAACAATACGTAGTTTTCCAGTGCAGCACACAACACTTGACACCATGTTTTCTACCTCCAGGATGCGCAAATCCATAGCTTGTTCTAGGAGGGTCACTCCACTGCCTATCCGAGCACACTGAACTGAGAGTACCTTTTCATTGACCCAAACAAGCCCATGCAGGAGTGGAAGGCCCTGTGTGCTCAGTCTCTTCAGGCTGAGGGCCCTGTAGCCAAAGACAAGTGTCTCGTAATCCTCTTATCTCTAATACATCAGTAACAAGTATCCTTGAGGACAGAAAGACAACTTGCCTGTTTATCATGAGGGACTGATCTCAGATAGCTTGGTACTGAACTCTCAAGTGGGTAAATCAGCCCACTCATGTCCTTACTTCTGCAGGTAAGTAACCAGCCTCACCCCTATGGTTCAAACTTCCTTCTCTACTCTTTGTGAAGGAAAATTGGGGGATGGCACAAAGAATAAGAAGTACAATCTTGAGCAGCTTGTCATGTAAACTTGATATGTTTCACCTTAGCTGACGTGAAAATACAGTATCACTTGTGAAGGCAAATTAACTTGGGCAAACCAACAGAATACACAGGTATTTTCTGAGGACTTATTTCCATCAAATAGTAATATTAAGGGGCAAGTTTTTCTAAAGTGTGCGTTCTAGAGACAAAAGTGTAGTAAGTGAAGGAGGCTCTGGTTATGTGATGAAAAAAAGATGACTGTGAACTGTACTAGAGCGGAAAGGAACTCACTGTAATTTATGAAATCTGTAATTACAGCTTTGTGGTTTGAAGTGGAATTATCTTTTCAAAGGTGATTGTTCCACTACACAAATCTCTGCTTCCAGTGTACAGAGAGCAAAAAGATGGTACTGGTTTCACCAGAAAGGCCTCTCAGACTCTCTTTTCAGAGAGCTTTATGATTTGGGAAATCTATTAGCTGCATCAGCTAATGTGCATGTGCATCCAAGACAACTAATGAAAAACTTTCAGTATCTTCTTACTCCAACAATGCTCTCAACTTGTACAAAGAGTACCATCTGAATTTTATTCCTCCACAAGCTTCTGCGTACCACATTGCAGACTTATAACCCAGTACACTTAAACTGATTCCCAACAGTACAAGGGTTTTGCTCACAGCTGAGATAGCTTTTCCTGTTGGATTATGTAGAAACTAACACAGGAAGCAGGACTGGACTGTCAGGAAGGGGCAGATAAAACAAGCAGCAGAGGCTGGCTTCAGTCCCCAGGAGGCTGGCTTCAGTCCCCAGTGGATGGGGGAAGGGCCGTCAACCTCAGTGCTAATCCTTCTCACGTTGCACCACAATTCTAGCTACCTAGAAAGCATGCAAGAGGATGTGGGTTGCCCTTCCCCCAGTATAAACGACTTCAATCTCTCTTATCTTTATTCCATCATCTGCAGAATTATACACTTCTCTCTTTTAGCCATCTAAGCTATAGGAAACTGTAAACGTAGAAAAATGGAGGTTACTCACCTGGAGCTCATATTGCAAGCTGCGATGTTTTAGCCGTGCTGCATTTGGATCTGTAATGCAGAAGTCCCAGCCTGCAAAGACTTTGTTACAGTAACTCTGAAATTGATCTTCAGCATGCACCAAGTTCTGCCTAAATCCTTCCACAGACCTAGAGAAAAATGCAACTGCACTTCATTCATGAAAAGACATTTTATCCACAGAAAACAAAACAAAAAACCACACCTTACGCAACCTGGCTCATCGAAGACTAGATGACACCCACCCCTATGAGCAAACAGCCAAATTTGCTTTACATCAGCAAGTCTCTGGGAAGCTTTCAGTGTGAGGTTCTGCAGCAAAGTCAGCTGAAGCCATGACTGACACAGGTTACTTCCCCGCTGCACTTAGCCACAGTCGTACCTCCTCATCTCATCCACTGCTTCTCTGACACATCAAAGAGCTGTCAGGAAACTTGAGATGACAAGCCCGTCCCCCAGAAAAAAACAAAATCCACCACAATAAAATTCTCCAACAACTACTGTATAGTTGTGGGTCTTTTGTTTATATGTATGCATATATATGAAAAACTAATACTTCAAATTTATTTATTTTTATTTATTTTGCTGCCTCAGTTTCCCAAACAAACACAAAGGCTACTGTGGCACTCTTCCTCAAGCAAAAGATTCTCCATTTCCATATAAAACAGTTCTAGAATACGGCATGTTCCCTACAAGCAAGAATGCGATGTAAACTGTGCATTAGGTACCAGTAAATAAACTATACCAACATCTTTACCTTTTTAGTATCCAGATGAGACTTAATGCAAGGTAGGCAAACGTAGCCAGCAGATATGCTAGTGGCAAGTTGTACCTCAGCATACTGATCCATGCAGCATCTATTGTGTAATAGCCATAAAACAAACTTGTCACTTCAAGGAACCCCTGTGAAAACATGAAGTTTAAATAGAATTTGTAACAGTAGCAGCAACTGCCCAGTTAAATTCAGCCTGGTATCAAGCAATCATTTTGCAAATTTAAAATTATTATTGGCGGCCCCAACAAGCTACAACAGTCTGTAGCTTCTAAATACTGCCACTGCCTCTACCAAACTGTAATGCAGACACTACATGCTTAAAATCCCTCCCCTTCCCAATCAACAAGCTCTGTGACAAGGACACTGAGACCCTACACAGAGAGCACAACAGGCAGTGTGCTCCAGAATACATAACATTCAGCAACTGGGGAGGAGTGGCGCAGGCTGCAGCACGTGGCCAAGCAGTCCTTGCGGACGCTCAGTAGAAGTCCGTTTGAAAACTCCCCTTCTCACAGACAAAAGATAAAGGCTAATTTTACCCCAGGGATGCATATGCCTTACCATCACTCAAAATTATCAAAGCTCTGTTCCCCAATGGTTTTGCATTCTACATGCGAGACATAGAAACTTAATTAAAAAAAAATAATCTAATTACTTACAGTGCCACTGAACAAATCTTCGAGGTAAGTATAGAAGTAAACAAGTCCCTTATTACCGCTAGGTTTATAAACTGTGCAGTGAGGCTCTGTCAAAAGAAAGGCAGGAAATGTCACTCAAATGGTAGTGCCCATTAAACTGCAAGATCAAGTTAATTCAAACATGGCAAGTTCTTAAAAACAAAAAAAAGTATTTCTTTGTCCTGGGAGGTGAAGTAGAAGCTGATGGAAAGGGTGAATCTTACAAGCAACATCAGTACATAGAGAAAATGTTTACCTATGTTTTTTGGAGGAATTTTAGCAAAGCTACTGTTGAATACTCCATATTTAGAGATGACGCTGGGAAGGATAACAAAACTGAACATCAGGATAAAAATTATAAAATTCAGCAGGACCAGAAAACGCAGGAAGGAAAAGTAGGACTGGATGCCAGTACCAAATTTCCCTGGGAATAAAAGAAACGTTTCAATAATTAAGACAGTAAAATAACTGAAAATACAGAATGAGCAGATTATCATTTCAGTTGCATTAAGTTAACTGAAGAAACATTACTAAAGCTAGTTTTAAGTACTGCAGGCTTTTAGCAATATAAATGAAATGGTAATGTGACTTTTTAATCATTTTCTCCAATATATCTCCTTCTAGCCCATCATGAATTTTACATCAGCAATAATAAAGGAAGCAGGTAACTTCTTAAATGCATACAGTTATATCTGAAACTATGCTCACACGCATAAAACTATTAATAACAGCAGCAACTTGAAGGAGGAGAAATTGACGTACGACAGTAAATACCTTCTATGCTGTGAATATCATGTCGCCAAAGCTTCAGGTAAGATGACAACTCCTTGACTTCATTGAGGACTTTTTTCAATGATTTGCTGCTAGTTCTTTTCCACTGTTTCCATCCAGATAAATATCTTATATCAGCCTGCTGACAGTCCCTAAAAATCAAGAAATACAGTTACTGAGCACAAGAAATACTTTTTCACTACATGTAGCAGGGCCTAGCACAATGGAGCCTGCTTGCAGGCTTCAGAAGGATAGCACAGCGCTAAAAGTTGGAGTAACACATGCTGGCTCTCCCCATCTGTTCCTCCCGGTAACTGCGACATCAAGTTAATTCATGTATAGCAAGTCTTCTCACAAAAAACACTTGCCTCCCTTGGAGAGAAAAAATAAATAGCCAATTGACAATAGCACAACAGAGAAAAAATATGTAGCTGAACTTCCCAGAGGGATCTCAGGGAAGTCACCGTTAATGGTTTCATATTTACAAATGTCTGGAAAAGGAAGAGAAAGTTCTTTCCTCAAACTTCTGACCAGAGCATTTTCACCAAGAGGCTCTTAAAAATTTTCTCTAAAATATTTAGCTTTCCTCTTTTAATGTTATAAATGCAGCTGTTCAAGACAGAAAATTATTCTATTTTTGTTGAAAATTCACAGATCTCAAAATCAGAATGAAATGTCGCAATATGCTGGGGGAAAAAAGTAAAGAAAATAGAGACAGCTATAAAGAGGCTTAAATATTTAATTTAAATTTTATAATTTTAACTTTTATATCACATTCCAGTACATAATAGAAAACAAAGGTTATTAAAATCATTCATTTTTAATTATTCCATTTGTATAGCATTTTGAAAAATTCACTGGAAAGTGCCAATTCAATGAATCTGAGAAAGTATTTCTTTGCCAAAATGTATGGGGGTGCACTGTCCTAATAATAAGCTGCGAACAAACACCAAGGATGTGCCACAAACTGTCTATAATTTTTAATCACTTCTCACAGATTTTCATACTATATGCATACATTTGCATTGTAAAAATTGTTGCATGGTCAGTGACAGCATCAAGGAGAATTATGAGTGGATCAGAGTTTGCATTTCGTTTTTTCTTTGAAGAAACTTTAAAAACAGACAAAACTTCCCAGACACAGAGCCTGAAGACAGACCTGTATGCAGCAAATGCTCTTCCAGCCTGTGATGCCACTGAAGGGCACCACTGAAATACCCATGAGGGCACCATGCTAGAGTAGAAGACCAAGGTTTCAGTTTTAAAAGACCTTGTACACAACCCTACTTAAGTGTCTAAGTGACTCACTGCCATGCCACGCCACTGCCACACGTGCTGTATGTTGACAAAGTTTCCATATCCTTGTCAGCTGAAAGCACAATTAGCATTGTGGCAGGAAGCCAAATTAAACCCTCTATGCAAGAATAAATCAGGCAGCAGATGATCTCATCTTTCAGTGCAAATACAGCTACTCTCAAAAGATTTCGTTTTGTGGAAACTACAGGCTGCAGCATGTAGTGTTTTAAACAGACACTTTGGAGAACTATCTGGCCCGTGTTTGGCCTGCATTTTAAATAGAGGCGTGGGCTGCATTTTCATCTGTGTTACAGAAGTTGAGTGTTCAGCTTTCAGGACATTTATATCAAGCATTGTGTGTTGGCAGCTACTGCACAATATGCACAGACTCCCAATCCACAGAAGTGCCAAGAAGCCCCACCAGAATCTCTCAGTGCTAAAACATGTAAACAAGCTTGGGACATCCCAACTCTGTTCCTAACACACACCGTGGCCACATGACTGCAGTTCCTTTTTCTTAAAGAACTGAGCTTTAGATACCCAACTTCAAATAAAAATTCAATGTCCTGAGCACTTTCCTTTACCACAACCTAGATCTGCTGTTACTTGTGCACAGGCTGTAGGGTTAAACTTAATTCCGGGGCCAGGCTGTAAAGCGCTTCCCGTTGCTCTTGCAAGCAACTTATTCTTGTTCTCTGTGGAGCACCAGTCATTAATTGTACTTTCACCTCTCTCCTGTTTCATAACCACAACTACAAAGTACCTGATTTAAAGGTGCAGCTGTTCCCTGACAACGTAAAAACACATCGGGCATCCTCTCTCCTCAAAGGAGCTTTCAGCCCAGCAGTAAGACATGAGACAACAAGCAGAGAAACACAGGCGGTGCAAAGCACACTCTTTGCAACCCTGTTCCTGCTGCGGGTTACCACCAGAGAGGCAGGAACCGCATACAGCAAAGAGCAATTTAAAAACAGATGGGGGGGGGAGAAGAAGAAATGCTCCTGGAAAGTTTCTTTCCACCTGTACTGAGCCACACCACAGAGAGCGCAATATATTTTGGAGGAACTGCTGAAAAGGCTCAAGAAGAGCAGCGCTGGCAGAGCAGAATGTGGATGGCGGATAACCCAGTGACCCTTTGGAGCACAAAACCCTGAGCCACAAAAAAAAAATAAAAAGGAATCCAGTATGAAATGCGTTTGGCTGCTGCAGGTGATTCCCAGTTTTGACTCATTTCTTCCAATTTAACCCATTCCTGCGCCCCCCCCCAAGCCCCCGGCCACCCTCTCGCTGCCGCAGGCGCCAGAGGAAGCCTGACACGTTTTGGCACGAGTACCTGGGCAACTTCTTGTCAAAACCACATGCCACAGGGTGAAACAGGTACAGATGAACCCAACTCTGCTTCAGCCTCCCCTCCCACCCGTATTGTGTTTAGGAAAAGGTAATTTAAAAAAAAAAAAAGAAGAAGAAGAAGAAGAAAATTAACGTGTAAAGATTAACCTTAATCTCCTCTTCTCCGCGATACTCAAGGGGTACTCTCTGGCGGGGCGAGCAGCCACCTCCTCTCCCTCTTGCTCCGGCCGGGG